ATAAAGTAGAAAAGGCTGAATATAGAACCTACTCGGATAATGTTAGAAATTTTGAATATGATGATAATACTAATAAAGACACCAGCAACAACAAAGCTGACGAAAATGATACGGATAATAGCATTGAACTAAATGCTAGCAAAGCTGAGAATAATGATAAGACAATTATTGAAGAAAATGGAAAAATGAATAAAGTGGAAAAATGTATTAGTGATGATGAAGTACTAACTAAAATTGACAACACGAATGAGATACCTACTGATAGAAAGCTTAAAGACAAATGTGAAATCTGGATGAAAAAGGTGGAAAAATTGAGGAACACGGTTAGTAAGTCAAATAGATTTGAAACGGACGAAAGAAGGGCATTCAGTTATTACCAAGAATCCATCGACTTGAATTATGCTTGTAACTTTTGAATGGAAAAAGTAGACGAATTTAAAAAGATAATCAAGAATGATATAAGCAAAATGAAAAAAAAGAACACATACCTAAACGATTACAGAAAACTTCGATCACCTGCTGAGGTGGATGTCATTCCTGGAAACTGTTACCAGAATGAAATTGAAATTGAAGACAATAAAAAAAGACATTTACCTATTATCAAAAAACTGCTTATTCAGATAATACTAAAGGATTATATAATGATGAACACTGTTATCAACATGACATTGGACTTGAAAAAAATAAGCATATAGCATCGATTCATTATCAAAGTGACAAGTTGCAAGATTTTGATAAACTGGCGTGCTCTGATGAAACGTTCAATCCTGGAGAAAAATCAAATAAATTCGGTAATCAGCAAAAATCAACTAACACAGTGGTGACCATGATGGCAAAAATAAAATCTGAAAACTTATCTAAATTTGTGAAATGAATTATCAAGAAGGGGAAAATTGTTATGCTGGAAAATGGAATCAGAAATGAAATAACTGTTAAAGACAGAAAAAAAAAAACATTCGAAAGACATTTAAGCTCTACTGAAGGTAGCAATTCAGATGGACGACATAACCTTGGATATTGTAATGAATATGAAAGCAAAGATAAAAAGAGCGAACATAAAACAGGATGAAATTGGAAGTGGATGAACAGAAGGCATTTAGTAATTATCAAATATCTGATGATGTAAATAATTTCAATGAAACATATGATGATGAAAATACCCTATTTGATCCTGGAGGTTTAAGGTTGTTCATAGAATGAACAAATAAGGTGGAGGAAAATATCACAATTGCAAATCGATCGTCAGTATAATATGACCGAATTGGACGATCGATTGCATATTTGTTTAGGTTTGGCATCCAATAGAATTAGTAGATTTAGGATATTTAGAACAATCGGGATATTTAGAATATTTGGAACATTCGGGATATTTGGAATATTTGGGACATATGGGACATATAGCATATATAGTATATTTAGCATATACGGTATAATTAGTATATTTAGCATATAGACAAATAGTAATAAACTGTTTACCGGCCAAATCCACACCTCTTTCAAGGGTGGTATTTTTTGAAGAATCACACTAGTTATAAATCCATAATCAGTAAAAAATATTTTAAACATGTTTTAAAGATATTATTTGCTAGTTTTAAAGCTATAATTAATTTTTTACAAGTTTCTGCAAAAGAAGTATCACCCCAAGCCAAACCTGAATTAGTATTTATTAAATTCTTTTGCTTTTGTCAATTATGTTTTTTGCTATAACTAAGTTATATTATCTCCTTTACAATATATATATATTATATGTGGCAAATGTATTTAAAAATAAATAAATATACATTATACAATGTAATTAGTGTTGTCAATTTAATCAAGAATATTAATTAACTAATAAAATTAATTAATCAGTTATTTATTCAATTAACCAGGTTAATACAATTAATAATATAACAAAAAAAGATAAAAATAAAATTATTTTTATATTATTAGAAATATTAATTAATTTATTTATATCTAATTATTAACATTAAATAAATTTTTAATAAAAATATATAATAGTAATAGTAAAAATAGAAAAAAGACCATATCTGTTTACATATTATTTTTAATTTCAAAAGAAAAAGCAAATTCAAATTATTGTTTTGCAATTTGCCAAGCATGTAAATATACAAATCCTAATAAACCTAAATCTAAACTTCAATTTATTAATAAAAAAAATACTTGCAAAAATTATTTACATAATTGTGAAGTATTTTGCAATAAAGTCACTCCTGAAGAATATAAAAATATTTTAAATTTGGATAATAATTCTACATTTCCATTAGACTATAATGATAATAGAAAAGTTTTTAGTAATTTATCTCAAAGTCAAATTTTTTTACAGTTAAATATTACAAAAAAAAACAAAAAATTAATAAATTTATAGCAAAATCTAATATATATAATCTAGAAAAATTTAATCAAGCTTTACGTAGAAGAGCCAATATATAACAG